TGAACAGACAGGGCGGAGGCAGTGAGGTCAGGGCGCTGTGCGCTCTCAGCAGCTGTCTCAGCTCCTGCTCACACCTGTGCCTTTGGCCTCTGGCTTCTTGCAGTGCTTGCCTGCTGTCACTGGTCCTCTGAAATGACACGTTACCTGCTGTCTGAGGCCTTTCTCTGCTCTTTGTTCATTGCCCTTCCCAGGCTGCTGTGTCAGGGGTGATCGGGGGGCTGCAGCAGCCTCTGCAGGCGGGCCCTGTTCTCTGAGCTGCCCGGAGGGGCCGGAGGAGTGACAGCCCGTGGACCGGGTGCAGTCAGGACTCTCTGTGGACACACGGCCTCCACCCCGCACTCAGCAGTCAGAGCTGGGATCTCCACGGGGCTGAGGAGGAAGGAGACCCACTGGGCCGGTGCCCCTGGGTCATGGCTACGTACCGAACACGAAGTTGTCGGGCCTGAAGATCTGGCCGAAGGGTCCAGACCTGACCGAGTCCATGGTGCCCGGCTCCAGGTCCACCAGGATGGCCCGAGGCACATACTTGTTACCTGTGGGGACAGAGCAGAACTTAGACCTGAGGTTGGCAAAGGAATCACAGACAACGCCCTGCTCTGTGTGCCTGAATTCACGGCAGAATTCATCAGACAAAACTCCAGCAGGAGACAAAAGCAGGAGATTAGAGCACTTTCTGCTCTGACAAGGGAGGTCAGGCTTGCTTAGTCATGGCAGACATGCAGGAGACTTAAGGAACTCTGCCGTGTGTTTCTCAGCCGTGGACATTTAAAATGAAGGCAGGAGGCCCTTCTTTGTCATTTGCATGTTCCTAGTACTCTGCGTCTGCCACAGAACTGGAGAGCAAGGCGAGGGGGCTAAAAATGTTCCGATAATCACCAGCGGCTTCATTGTAGTACACATTGATCCTCTCCAGCTGCAAGTCACTGTCTCCATGGTAACTGCCGGTGGGGTCGATGCCATGCTCATCACTGATGACCTCCCAAAACTGGGGACAAAAAAGGAGCACGTGATGGGCTGGCACACTAAGTATCAGTAAGGATCCCCTTTCTTCCTCTCGTGCCCTTGGAGCAGCGGCGTTGTGGTCGGACAGCGAATGCGTCCCACACAGACCAATACCCACCGCCCCGTCTCCCAGCAGCTGCTGCCGAGGGGCTGTGGAATCTGCAGAGCATCAGCCATATTCTGGAGACAGACTGGAAAGCTGGGAGGGGCCCTGCGGGGGAGGGTGGGCACTGCAGGTCCCTTCCAGGGAAGCTGGGGATGCTGGGGAGGCTGTCACTCCCAGGCAGGGCTGAGTGTCAGCATCCCAGCTGATGGACGGGTCCAGACAGGACCCAGGACCAGCTGGACCCCGCCCTGCGGCTGCCTGCAGGGCTCACTGTCTCCTGGCACAAAGTGGCCCAGCCCCCCACCCCCAGCAGCGCAGTGTTACGCACTGACATTCACACTGCCCTCTGGCCGCTGGCCGCAGTAGGAGAATGATGGGGAGGGGCGGGCAGGAGGCTGGGGAGCACCCTCGGGGGCAGTGGCCGGAGCT